TTAAAAAAATAACTGTAGTAAGAAAAACAAATGAAAAATGCGAACTAATGTAACGTCGTATGGTGAGTTTTTGTTCGTATCGTGGAGCAAAAATATGTTCGAATTTCATGTCGTATCCTGAAAATTTCGTATGCTGGGGCGTTCGTAACCTGAGGTACCACTGTACTCTGAATAATGAATCAAATATATAAATGTTAAATATTAATGGAAACATAGACAATATATTTAGTGTTTCCTCTTTATAGCTTTGCTAATATTAAAATTTATATTGTCTTTATATCATTATTTATAGTCTTCTTATTCATCATCATTTTTGAAATATTGAAATTTTTCATTCAAATAATTTAAAATATGTCATCAATATTCTATAAATTGGAATATTATTTCTGAAAAAAGTTTGTTTATAACACAATTGATTGTTTCATTACGGAATCCTCACTTAGAGTGATGATCAAATTTACTAATGTCTTCACATAAAAATGGAAAGAAACAAAATACTAGATAAAATGATGATAAATGTCTATAAATATCAAAACCATCAGCAAAAACATTTATAGAATGCTTGAAAGAAAAGTGTGATTATTACAAGAACAGGGATCACAACATCAAGTGTTCATGTTGAAATAAATATAGATAGGCCATTCTTCAGTCATGGACAGTCATACAGTACTTGGTGCTATCAAGATGTAGGTCAAAGGCCTATAACAATATTCAAAGCAAAAGTGAAATGAAAAATGTTTGTTAGAAAGAAGTTTTATGGAAAGTTTTTTATTCATTAAAATTATTATCATTGCAATTTGTATTGTGAACAATTTATATTGGGAAGAAGTGAGTAAATGAAGGGAGCAGAGTTGGGATGCATAGTGATCATGGAACAAAGCTCCCTAGTAAAATTGTGAATTTATGAAGAAGACATAACATTTTCATATCATAAGGCTTGGTAGAGGCAAGCCGTTAAGTGAGTGAATGAAAAACTTAACAAAGCAAATCTTACTATACTGGAATTAGAACATTTTCTGTCTATCCAGATTTGCATTTTATTAAAAAACTAAAGATATATGCATCATCTGGAAAAAATATTAGTATTGTTGTCATCTGTGAATTTTTTTTATCTACGTATCAAATTTCACTGAGTTCCATCCATTCATTTTTGAGATATTGATTTTTATATTAATTAAATTATCAACAACCATGAGTCAGATAATAGTGAGGGCTTATCAGACCAATGATGGGCACAAATGCTCAGGAATCAAAGTGAAAACATTTAATAAACACAAAAATGACTACATAAGTATGGAAATACTTATTATACTGTTATATGGAAATACTTATGTAATGTTTTTTTTATACTTAGGTAGTCAATTTTGTGTTTATTAAATGTTTTCACTTTGATTCCTGAGCATTTGTGCCTATCATTGATTGATAAGCCCTCACTATTATCTGCCTCATGGTTGTTGATAATTTAATTAACGGCTAGGAGCCAAGGGCTAGAAACAAGGGCTAGAAGCAAATTTTTGTAATAATTTTGATATTGATTTTTATTGATACATTTTATTACACTTAAAATCTCCTCCCAATTTGATCTCCTTGACACTTTGTGATAACTATAACAACAGTAGGTTAAAAATCGTGGAACAACATCAATTAGTTTTATGTTTAAATCAGATAGAGTTTACTGTTCCATTAAAAACTGTATTTATAAAAGTATAAAATGAAGAATGTGTTTGTAGTTCTGGAACCGGAACTGTCTTGACACTCTGTGGAATTGTTTCTAGTAGTTCTGAGTCTAAAGTGGTTCTGACTGGAACTATCCACCTCTAACTCTGGATTGTTTGAAATTAGAAGGTACCATTGCATATTTGTCCCTTATTGGATATGTATTCAAATTTTGAAAAAATTCAATGAGATTGTTTTCATTATTCCAGTTTTATTAAATAATAAATAATTTATTTACCAAAGTGATAAAACAATTATTATATGATGGGCTGTCCACCCTGGGAGGGAGGGGATTATGACAGCCCCTAATGGAAAATTAGAGGATTTACACATGACTTGTATGTTCTACAAAATTGTATTTATTGTTCAAAGTAATCACCAAATTATATCAAAAATTCCTGCAATTATTTTTCCTGTTGGATCTGCTATCAATCACATACAAATTCTGCATAGTAATCATTGGATTTGCACTTATGTCACAAAACATATTCGTATATCTGATTCTATAAATTATGGTAAAATATCTACGGAACTGAAAGCATTGTTATGAAAATTGTATCCTCATATTAATACTGACATCTCTGAACTTTCTGAGAGTATGGCAACAACCAAGTAGAGTTGACTGCAGTGTATGTGAAATTGCTATCTTCATAGCATTTGGTGTCAAACCCAAAACAATTCGATACAATCATAGATAAATGCATTCTTGTTTGTTGAAAATATGCAATTTGTCTAAATTAGAGCATTTTTCACAGATGCCATTTAAAGGTGTTGTTAGAACTTGTAACTTGTTCTGAATAATAATTTGAAATATATTTCAAGAATTACTTTCAAATTCATCTTTCCATTTATTTTTTTCACTGTGGAGAATCCATATGAAACATTTTTCATCTTATGGTCTTTCACAGATTGTAGATAAGTGAATTAATGTAACTGTTTGTGAACCACAAGAAATGGAAGAAACCAGTAATATCTCTAAAAACATATCTGTAAACCTTACAGGTGTTTTTTGGAGATATATTTATAGTTTTACTAAAGGTAATTTGAATTTGTACAAAAAGATTAGTTTCATATTTAAATGAATAAAATTAAATTTTAGTTTGTGTTGAAGAAAGTATGTGAAGCTTTGGTTTTATAAATTAAAATAATTATAAAATTTATTGTATAAGCTTGAATTCTTTTTATTTAAATTAATTTTTTAAAATTATATATTAACGAAAATTGAAATTTTTTTTTCAGGGAAGGTGATGCCGAAGTCAGTGCAATTAAAGTAGGTTTTGTGACTTACAGTAATGCAGTCCATTTTTTTAATATCAAGGTTAGTAAAATTTTTCACTTCAAGTAAATTTCAGAACTATTTAATTTTCTTTATTTCAGTTGTTTATCTAAATGAATAAATAAGTGTTCATTTGCCATCTTAATGAAATATATATTGCATTTAGTTTACTTTATGTTTAGTTAAAATCAAATTTTAAATGTCTGAGTTAAACTGTGTAAAGATGAAATATTTTTACAGTTTTTGTGATAACTCAGGATGTATTTTCTTCATAATTGAAGTTTAGACTATTTACAAAAATTAAATTAAATTTTTGAGTCTATCTTTTAATCCCTTATACACCACCACAGAAGTAACAGTTTTAAATGTCTTTGAAGAACACTTCTTAAAGGTAAAAAATCGGTATAAAACTCCACAATGTTAAAAGAGATCAAGTGCCAGCCTTTTCTTGTAGGTTCTGACACTTTTACATTAAAAACACAAAGAATTCTTTTCATCATATTATTTTTATCCATTTTTAAACTGCTTCTGGCCCTCTAGTGGTAGTTATGAGATATCTACATTAATCACAAAAATTGTAACTATATATAAATAACGTAGATATCTTGTAACTACCACTAGAGGGCCAGAAGCAGTTTAAAAATGGATAAAAATAATATGATGAAAAGAATTCTTTGTGTTTTTAATGTAAAAGTGTCAGAACCTACAAGAAAAGGCTGGCACTTGATCTCTTTTAACATTGTGGAGTTTTCTACTGATTTTTTTTACCTTTGTTTAAGAAGTGTTCTTCAAAGACATTTAAAACTGTTACTTCTGTGGTGGAGTATAAGGGATTAAAAGATAAATTAAATTTTCGAGTTTAATTTTTGTAAATAGTCAAAACTTCAATTATGATGAAATATTTTGATTAATATTTTTATTAATAGACTAGGGGAGCTTTGTCCCTGGACACTATAGAGTTGGACCTATGGTGGTCCAACTCCTCCTGTTTTTCCCATTTGTTTCCAATATAGGCTAGACTATTTTTAAGAAAAATTTCAATGAAATGTATGCCTTTGTCTATCTAATCCAAAGTAAGGATTCTATAATGTAAACAAAGTTCAGATTCATTTCAAAATGAAATGTACCTACACACTCATATTAATTGGAATAAACATTTATGTGGTAACCACTAAAAAGGAGTTTATACATGAATAAACAAATTTGTTATGTTCTTCTAATTCAACATTCACCAGAAATCAGAGGAGGACATAATAAATTAGTTTATTTGTCTATAAACCCTTTTAGTGGTTACTAAGATAGGTAATTATATCTGGCAACTAGGACATTGTGTGACTTTGTTGTATCACGATACAATTGAAGCAGAGCCAGAAGGAAAGAAGTTATCCCTGTACCTTTTAGGCACAGAAGAGGCAATTCTCGTATGATACCTGATGGACATGGACAGATAAACTTTATACTTGCCACCACAAAAGAAGCTATCCTCTTACCTGCAGGTCATGGGGGAGACAATCTGTGCACTGGCCAGGTATGGAGAGACAATCCAAGAACAAAGCTATTGCCATCGATTGCTTTGTTCTTGTGTTTTGTTTGTTTTTTATGCCTATTTTCTGTTAGGCACATATAATACTGTTTTTATTTTTGACCCCTAGTCTTAAATTCCATTAGTTGTGCTTGTCATAGCCAAAAGCACAGTCAGTCATTGTAATATCTTTGTATATTGAAAATGAAGTCGTGGATTCCAGTTTCTTGGCTGTGTTATATATAACAGAGTGAAAATATGGTGATCAGTCAAAAAATGATTCCCCAAGATTTTACATTTTTGGACTTGGGATCTTGAAGCATCAAGAAATGCAAAATATTTAGTTTTTTTTCTGTATGTATGGATGTTAATGTGTGAGTGTTTGTGTGTGGCACAATTTTGTTTAACTACACACCAACCGAATGCCGAAAATCTATCGGGCTAGTATAAGGCTAATTAAAACAAAATTACGACTTAAGCCTGTAACCGATGCGAAATCGTAAAATATTAACGCACAAACGTTTTCGGAACACCTTCTGTGTTCTTCCTTAAGTTTTCAAACTGGATTTTTTATATTCTGGAACACCGCTATGAAATTTTTCAAAAAACGAATGATGATATTTCGAACGCTCGGTGTCCATTGTGCACACGTTGTACACGTTGTGTTCCCGGTTGTTCAGAGTCCCATTCAATCTTCTAATCATTATGTAATTTCTCTCGTTATTCATACAATGTAGTATTCTAGCCTTCGAGAGAAGTTACATAATGACTAGGAGATTGAATGGGACTCTGAACAATCAGGAACACAACGTGTACAACGCGTGCGCAATGGACACCGAGCGTTCGAAATATCATCATTCGTTTTTTGAAAAATTTCATAGCAGTGTTCCAGAATATAAAAAATCCAGTTTGAAAAAATGAGGAAGAACACGGAAGGTGTTCCGAAAACGTTTGTGCGTTAATATTTTATGATTTCGCATTGGTTACAGGCTTAAGTAAGTCATAATTTTGTTTATACAACCCGTTGTGCTTGTAGGAGTTATTTATAAGGCTAATTATTAAATGAATTACGATGGTTATATAGTTAGCTTCTATATGCTGGAAGACGAGATCGGACTGGAGGTCCGGATAGCATAACTGGCAACGCATCTGCACGGTAAGCAGGAGTTGTGGGTTCGAGTCCCACTCCAGGCCGATTTTTTTTCTCCCAGCTGTTCTAAATTATTTAAATTAATTAATTTATTTATAATTATTAATGTTAATAAGAGATGGCGCCTAACGCCTACCTCTAGAGCCAAATTGATTACGTAATTCATTTAGTNCTAGAAGAAACAAAATGAAAAAAATGAACCATACTTAAAGTGTTGTAATAAATAAAATGTATTTGAACATATTAAAACAAATAAATAAAAAAAATACATAAAAGTGAAAATATAAAATAAACTAAATAAACAATGCAAATAAAAATGGGGAGAATATCCTGTGAAAGGAGAGAGAAAAGGGTGTCAAGGTTATCCAATATGTAAATCATATCAGGTCTTTCAGGTGGTCAACAGGATGTTGAAGTCTTATAGTTGATAGAACTACCTTGCTAGACAGATTTGTAAATATAAAGGACTTCCACATAACATATATATGATGATTATTTCTAATGCTTTTAATGGTTTTGGCTTGTTGCCAGCACATGTCAACAGAATCAGAAAGAGCATAGACTACAAGGGCTTCCAAATATCATACTTGTGCTCCTTCAGTCATGCTTCGAAAGATAAATTTCAGTTTATGGAAACTATTTTATATGCAACTCTGAGAACTCTGAATAGAATAGCTTATATCCCAAAACATTTATCCCTTTTTAATCTTTTACCACATGTACTCCTCTCTCTTCATTCATGTGATAATCCCCCTTTCCCTTTTACTTGATTGTTTATTTAGTTTATTTTATATTGTCACTTTTATGTATTTTTATATTTTTTATGTAATATTTATTATGAATTTTTCATTTAATTTTGTTATTTATATCTTTATTTGTATATATATTATATTTTATTTTCATTTTTTTAAATTTAAATAAACTGATATTCACTTTTTGAAAGTGTTTGTTACATTCTATCCTTTTGTTTTGTTTGATTCTGAATTTTACCCGAATAGTCTAAAACAGAGGTGTCCAGCCCGCGGGCCGCATGCGGCCCAAGGCAAGTTCCAATGCGGCCCAATAAACGTGTAAACAAAACCGACAGATTTTTTTATTTTATTTTATTTATTTATTTATTTCAACGGCACAAATTCAAAAAAGACGTTTCACAAAGCAGTAAACCTTTATACATATTTTAATTTTGAGTGGAAAGGAAACATTTTCAAATACTTGGAAATGTGTGAATGAGGAAGGTATATTAAATAAATCTGAAGTTGTGACTCAAAGGAGTATAGACTCAAATTCGGGGAAAGGAGAGAAAGGCCAAAAGATAAAATGATAATGAGAAAGGTTAAATATACGAATAAAACTCTTTCTTATTAAATGAGAAAGGTTAAATATACCTTTTGTTATGCAAATATTGACCCTTAATTTTTCAACTTTTCTCACTTTTTTTATCTTGTGTCCTTTCTCTCCTTTTCTTGCTTTGTGTCTATAATCCTTTGAGTCCCAACTCCAGCTATATTTAGTACTCCTTGCAAATTTGGCTACTTTGCGTCAAATTTGGCTACCTTTTTATTAGTTTGGCGTAAAAAATATCATTTGACGCATTGGCTACTTTTTGGGTTACACATTATTTATAAATATATTAGTTGAATAAAAATGCACTTTAAAATGATATTTCGTCACTTTTTATTAATTAAAGACCCAAATAAAACAAATATTTGTGTTTTTCAAATAAATTTTTGTTTATCTCCTTTATAATAAATGAATTTATTTATTTCTAAATAAAAATTGAAAGTGTCTGTAGAAGTAATTTTTTAAAATATCCTTATTCGTAATAAAGTTTTAATGCTTATTACTATAATCTAGACATGTTAGTTCTTAAATATACTTGTATATTTAAGGATTGGGCCAAAATATACTTGGGCCACAAGTATATATATTATACTTGTGGCCCAAAACTCCATGACTTCTTCCAATGTGGCCCAAAGAAACAAAAAGGTTGGACCCCCTGGTCTAAAAAGAGCCAAAAATGTTGGTAATTAAATTGGTTCAACTTCAAACAAAGGTTTTAGTGCGAGTTTTAAAAATACAAAGCATTTTAAAGACAGTTTTAAAAATTGGAATGAAAGATACCAAAGCAATAATGGCAAAAAAAAATGCAAGAACTAATATTAAAAATGATGCAAACTGATTTAATATTGAAAAGCTCAAGGAATATAAATTTACATATACTGTGTTTTCTTGCATATAACCTATGAGTTAGTTACATGTGTGTTTAAAAAGGAAATTGAAAAGATGATGCAACTTATACAATGGGAATACAGTAGAGCATCGCTTATCCAAATCATTGGGGACTGGGGTTGTTCAGATAACTTATTTTTC